GTCACCAGTGGTTTTGCTGGATGTCACTAGTTGTCCATTTCTGCTTTCCTAGCGGTGCTGTGGCAGACTGCCTGTTTCTTTCAGGCTTCTCCAATAGGAACTGTTGTCAGCTTCTGGAGTCTTGCCATCGTGAGGAGGTGAGAATGGGAAACTTGTTTTGGTTTTAATTTGCATTTCACCATTTTCCTTATGTTTCGGGGCCATTTGCATTTTTCCCTGTGAACTGCCTATTCATACCTTTTGTCCATTTCCTATTGAGCTGTTCTTGGGAATATTAACTCTTTGTGATAGGGGTTAAAATCGTTTCACTGTGCTTAATAAAACTTTAAAAATATATAGTAAATTAAGCAGGATGTGTTGACACACTCCTGTAATCCCAGTGACTTGGGAGGCTGAGATAGGAGTATTGCAAGTTTGGGACAAGCCTCAGCAACTTAGTGAGGCCCTAAGCAATTTAGCAAGATCCTGTCTCAAAATAAAAAAATAAAATAAAATAAAAAGGGCTGGGGATATATCTCAGTGGTTAAGTGCCCCTCGATTCAATCCCCAGTACCAAAGTATGTATAGAAAAATGACTGTTCTTTTCCCTTATTGCTTCTGGAAGTGTAGTCATAGTTAGGAAGTGATTTTACAAACCCAGGTTTTGAAAGAATCCACCAATGGTTTCTTCCTAATATTTGTATTAGTTTTGCATTGCTATAACAAAATGCTGGAGGCAGGCTAATGTACAAACAAAAAAGATATTTTCAGCTCATAGTTTTTAATGTTCAATGGCATGGTGCTGGCATCAGCTTAACTCTGGTGAGGGCACCTTGGGCTGCATCACAGCATGGCAGAAGTATATGTGGGAAGAGACCATGTTGCAAAACAGGAAGTCAGAAAGAGGCTGAGTGGGTCAGGCTCAGGTTAGTTCTTATGAGAACTAAACGGGGTTCCACCAGAAACACCTTAATCCCTTCTGAGAGTGGGCAGTGCCCCAATTGACCTGAAGACCTCCCGCTAGGCCCCACCTCTTAAAGGGTCCACACCACCTCCTGATTCCTTTACCAGGAGCTCAAGCCTCCAATACGTGGACCCTGGAGAAGCTTCATCCGAGTCATGGCAGCGTTGTTCTAGTTTTTATAATTAGATCTGATTCATGTGAAATTGAGTGTGAGGATTGGAGGCAATTTTTTCTTTTTCTGTATGACTATCCAGTTGTCCCGACATGACACTGAAATTATCTTTTCTCCCACTGACGTGAAATGCTACCTTATATTAAATGTCCACATGCTTTGGGGCCTATTTTCAGATCTTTGATCCATGCAACATAAATAGGATCATTTGTATTTATACACTGCTATAATTATAGAGGCTTAAAATATGTTTAATATCCTAAAAGGCTATGGACCTTTTGCTCTTCTTTTTAATTTTTTTTCCTGGCTACTCTTACTAATTTTCTTCCATATGAATTTTATAATCAACCTCTTGACATTTCAAGAGCGAGGAATGGCATTAAGTCTCCATTAATTTATGGGGTATTCACTTTTTTATGATGTTGATTTTTTTCCACCCACAATCATGGTGTAGACTTCAATTTGTTTAAGTATGCATTCATATCTTTGAGAGACTTTTAAAGTTTGCCTTCCAAAGATCTTAAATTTTAAGTTTATGTCTGCATGCTTTTAATTTTTGCTACTATAAATGGAATCTGCTCTTATTTTTTCTAACTGCTAATCTTTTATGTTTCTGAAGATAGTTGGTGTTTTCATGTTAATTTTATGTCTTACTAATTTACTAAGTTCTCATTCTAATGGCAGTTTTTTTCCTTTTTGCTCATATTCTTTTAGCTTTTCCCAATAGATATTGTCATATCATCTGCAAATACAGATGTATGTTACATCTCCCTTTCCAATTCTTATGTCTCAACTTGCTTTCTCTTGCCTAGTGTTTTGGCTAATACCTTCAACATCATGTTAAGTAGTCATGATGTGCTTATTTATTAGGGTGCTATTACTTTGTAGCTGGTATTTTGTTTGGCTGCTAGTACTTTAAGATCTTTCTAGCTGGGCACCAGCCAGTGCAATGGGATCCAAATGATGTGTACGACTGCCAAGTCTGTTCCATAAAAAAACCTCCCACACGGAATTTTCCACACACTTTACCTTCTGCTAGTTTGGTGCCGACAAGCAAGGAGAAGATGAGGGAGCCACAATGTGGAGGGGAGCTGGGTCCCTGAGTGACCACGGGGAGGACAGTCAACTTCCAATCAGGATTATGGCTTTGGAATTTCCATGAATGGATGATACACTTCTATCATGTCCGACCCGTTGTCCATTACAGTGACTAGAATTATCCAAATGAATACCACAGAAAACATGAAGCTCAAGAAACACGGCCTTTCCCTCCCAACTTCTCTCTTATCCCTCATGACCCAGCCCAAAATGCCAGCTCCTTGGTGAGACCTTCTTCAGTCTCTGCGGGTGAGGTACATCAGTCACTCTGTCTTCTGTGCTCCCCGCACTTAGGACCCGTCCTTCCTAGGTCTCGCAGTGAGGTGTGAGTTATTTGCTTATCCTCTCCTCACTGTCAGCCAGACATCCAGCCTGCAGCTGGGGCTCAGCAAGAGTAGCGGGTTGAGTCGGGGGTGGCACAGCTGCTCTGGATAAAGACTGAGGTTGAAATGCCCGGGAAAGGGTGTGCAACGACACACTCACCACCTCTTCTAACGTGACATTTCAAAGCAGACTTTGGGCCTAGTTATAACCTTGGGCCACTGTCAGGAACGGCTCTTAGGAAAAGCTCCTGTTTTTGCACTGGATCAGATGACACAGGTCGTGTTTCGTGGACTCTTCACTTCCTACTACACCAAGTTCAAATCCTGGCTCTGACTGGAGCTGGCTGTGTGGTCCTCGGCCAGAGAGGAGAAAGGGATCTTGGGGCAAGGGGCGACCGAACCTTGCACTTTCGGAAGTTGAGCTGCAGCAACTGAGGTTGGGGAGGGACCCCTGGGCTTCTCGGAGAATCTAGGTGGAGTTCACATCAAATGCCCAAATCGTGGGCCCAGGCCTCAGCTCTTCCTGCCAGGGCAGCTCAGCCCAGCAAGCCAAGCTGTTCCAAATTCCCCAAAGGCAAGGCCCATACTAGACCTCCCCAGGCCCTACATTCCAGAGGGATTCTGTCTCCTCCCCCTACCAAGTCACACACAATTTAAACCCTTTCTACTGGAAATACCACAGTCCCGTTCAGTTCTGATTTTTTTCCCACAATTATTACTTTGGTAGTGATTTTGCAACATTGCATATCAAAAGCTTTCTAAAACAGTGTTTCCTCGTTGCTTTGCCCGCCCCCCCTCCTTCAGCACCTGCTCAACCTCCTGCTGTGGATGTGGGACATCAGTGATACCCATCTCCACGCACCTTCAGCTCTTGCTCGCTGCTCTTCGGGGAGCCCCATCACGGGAGGCTGACGCTCACATGAAGCTGGCAGGGAGCCAGGGCTGGGAGCTGCAGCACCTTTAGCAGGCTCCTGTGGTGCATGTGGAGGCTGGAAGTCTTGCAAGCTCCTTGGGGAGTGACAAAGAGCACTGGGGACGGGGATGGGAGGAGTGGAAAGGCTGAGCTGGGAGGAAGGCCGCAGGGAGGGACTTGTGGAAAACTCCACTTGCGTCATCCCTTGGCTCTGGGTGAGGCAGAAAAATGTGGCCTGAGCTCAGGTGCTTCCTGGCACAGCGGTCCCAGGACGGCTGGCGGGGGTGGTGGCTTGGGAGGTCAGGATGGAAGGCTTGGCACTGGAAACAAGGAACCCGGAGTGGACTTGCAGCTTTTCTTCTGACGTCTCTGTAGTGGCAGCAAAAAGTTCAAAAGCAGGCACTTTGGAGCCAGATTGCCCAGATCCAAATATGGACTCCATCATGACATGAGCTGTTCCATGATCCAGACTTTGTCCATACCAGAGGGATCCACAAGACCAACTAGCCCAGCAGCCTCATTTACAGAGACGTGGGGAAGGGACTTCCAACAATCCCGCTGGTAGGAGGCAGAGTTGGAGCCTAAACTGGAGAATCCACTCCCATCTGAACCCTTCACCCAGGACATCATTGTGAATGTCGGGTAGAAACAGCCACCACCAAGTCCCCCTAGTTAACCATTCATCCCCATAGCCATCCACCTTTGGGCCACAAAGTTATCCATTCATACAGTCCACTCCAGCTGTCAATCACCCCTCCCTTTCTCCTTCCTCTGTGCAGTGGTTCCTTATCCACCCAGTTACCTACCATCCTATCCATCATCCCTCTGTCAACCTATTCCTCCATCCAACCACCACCGCCCCGTCAGCCCCGGGGAGAGGACTCTAGGATGCTTGGCTACATGACCAATAGTGTTTGCCATAGGGTACTAGAATCTGCCATGAATGCTTTTAAATTTTTTGTTTCCAGTTCAAGTCAACGTGTTTACTGAATTACTATTAATTTCACAATATTGCTTTAAGCACCTCTGAGTATAAGGATTCAGAAAAATATTTCTTCCTTAAAAAAATATGACATCTAAATGTAATTTGAGACTATGGATTGGATGTTGGAGTGGGAAAATAAGAAAGTACATCATTGCAACAACTGATGACATTTTAGTATAGACTGTGGAATAGATAATAGTATATTGCCGAAATGTTCAATTTCCTGATTTTGATAACTGTACTGTGGTTATATAAGAGAATTTTCTTTTTCTTAGGAAACTCCCACAGTGTTTAGGGACAAAGGGGGAATGATATCTTCAACTTACTTGCAAATGATTTTGGAAAAAAGTTCTATGTATGATGTGTGTGAGTATATATATAAAATGCATATATAATGCAAACATTTATGTATATAAGGAGAGACAGACAGCAATAGAGAGAGAAAATGGGACAAAAGTTAGCAATTGGTGAATCTGAGCTAAAGATATAAGGGAGCTCCTTGTACTATTCTTGCCAATTTTATGTTCATTTAAAATTATATAAAATAAAAAAAATCAACCCCCAGATTCACAGTCTCTTTTTCTTGAAGTTTACTGCTAGGGAAGGAACTTCAAATACATCTGAGCATAAAAGGGATGGAACTTATGAACCTGTGGGGGTTCATGTTCCCCATCTACCCCAGCCACACACAGGGCAAGGGAAGAGGAACCAGAGGGGTGGGTGGAGAGAGTGGGGTGCGCTGGGGAGAGCTGCAGCTTTGGGGTGTGAGAACGCTGATGAAGCCAAAGGCGCTTCTGGGAAGTCTGCTGTGGCTTATGAATCTGATCATCTGTCAAGAATCAAAAATAGGGATTGAAATGCCTTCAGATTACTTTCAGTCGCTGGGCTGACAGTCTCCGAGTGCATCTTCACGCGAAGACTGATTGACACGGAGCCCTGACTTTTATTCAGGTTATAAATGTCTATCTCTCCCCATCGATGAGAACGATGACCGAGAGAGCACTGGGAATGGGCTCTTCCTCCAGCGGCCACCGGAAGACTGTCGGATGTACAGCATGAGCTGGAAGTGACAGGGACTGGCAGCCAGGAAGAGGAATCCAGGTGAGAGAAGGGAAATCCGAGAAAGAGAGCAGTTATGGAGCCTTCACCCACACACGGTCCCTGCTAACGATCAGCAGCCTATTTTATAGACACAGAGATCTTGCCCAAGACACACTGCTAAGTGGCTGAATCAGGAACAGAAGGATTCCCAAGACTCCCAATGCCACACAGCCTCAGGAAAGCATGTTCTGAGACTTTTGGGGAAAATGAGAAGGGGTGGGGCAGAAGGGGAAGGCTCTGCTTGCCCAGTAGAGACCCCAGGGTGGTTATCCACCCACTATGGCAGCCATCACAAGGTCTGCAGCCCCCTGAGTGTGAGTGCCTCTCCTCAGAGTCAGGAGCTGCTCCCTTCCCCGTGGCACCAGTCACATTGAAATTCAGGAGCGGGATCTGTGTCTCTGTGTGGGCAGACTGCAACTGAGAGCTCCCAGCTGCGGCTTCCTGTTCTCTCCTGACACAGGATGGGGGAGCAGCCCCTCCTCCTTGCAGACTAGAGGACTGTCGGGCACACACCAGCTGCTCAGTGACTCCAGCCTCCCTCTGCTTGGTGACTTGGACAGCAGCCTTGCCCACCTGGCCAGCCTGGACCCCCGATCAGGCTCTTCCCAGATAGGGAGGCTGAGCACGTCACCCTGGGCCAAGAGAAGGCAGGGTTCTGGAGGAGGGTGGGGGGCAGGATGAGGGCAGCAGAGAAAGCCAGCAAAGACTCATGGGGGAGTCCAGCAAAACAGAAGTAGGTTTTCCTGCTGGTCCAGGGCTCTGTCTTCTGTCACTGGAGGCAGATGGTGATGAGGACCTAGAGGATGGCTGAGCCACAAGACGGAAGAAGCCTGGGTCTCTGAAGGACAGTGTGTAAAACACAAACTGGGAGGGCCGGCTCATAGATGGAAGAGAGACTCGGGGTTCAAGTCGCCAATGAGGCAAGAGATTGTGACAAACGGAACCAAGAGAAATGCAAGTCCTGCAAAATTCAAGGACTCGGCGCTCCTCTTGGCAATGGGATGTGGCAGCCTGGCCTGGCCATTTCTGTGGAGCACCCATATTCTGGGAACCAATATAGGACCCCAGGGTGCTGAAATGTCATAGTATCGAAGGCTGCACTGAGGGTCACACCCAGGGCCCACGATGAGGAGGAAGGTGTCCATCCTGACCAGTCATGCCTGGGATCTCCTGTGTCATATAGGGGACCACTGATGCTTTGGCACCAGGTCAGCAAACTCGTTCTATAAAGTGCCAGTAGTGTTGAAGCTCTGTGGGCCGTGGGGACTGTTCCAGCCATTCAACTTCACTTTTGTAGCCCCAAAGGGGCTTAGGCAATAATAAACAAATGGGCATGGCTATGTTCCCAGAAACCTTATTGACAGAAACCAATGGGGGCCAGATTTGGCTCTTGGGTTGTAGTTTGTCCATCTCCTTCAGAAATAGGACAGACAGAAAAGGCAGATTTCTGAGGGCCCTGGAAACTGAGGCGTGGATGGATGGGTGAGGGACCTGGGTGGGGCTCTGGGTGCTTAAGCGTGCCCACTTGGTGGTCTCAGAGGGAAAATATCTGGGGGGAGGAGGAGTTACCAGGAGGCTTATTTCTATTCACATCAAGAAAGACCCCACAAAACACCAAAGGGGTGATTCTGCATTGTCAGGGGCTGGGGCCTGGGGAAATTGGGCGGCGTATCCCTCAATGCCCAGTCCTGCTCTGGGGTGAGAGGCCCTGTGCCTCCCACGACTGCCCTTTCCCACCCTGCCCACACTGAGGCATGAATAATACATCGGGATGCCAGCCGCAGGCCCTCTGATCATGAGCTCCAGGAGCCAGGCAGGCGTGTGTGGGGCTGGCTCCATTGGAGACTGCCGAGCTCTGCTGGGACCGGGAAAGCCTGTGGCTGCAGATACTCTGTCCCCCTCACATGAAAGCTGCATCCTCCAGTGGGGGGCTTGGTCCAGGGCTAGGCTCTCCAAGCCTACTTTGTGGCTTGACCAAAACGGCTGCAGGGGCGTTGGGTGAGTTCACGTCTCCGGTCCTTTTCCAGTGTAGGCATCTTGAAGCCAGGGAGCAGCCCCAATGCCTGCAGGTGGGAGCAGGAGCCTCCCTAGGTGCTCTCTACCAGCCGCTCAAAGGAACCTCGTAAACAGTTTTCTTGGGGTGACCCTCTGGATCCCCTCAAAGCTCTGCAAGGGCACAACTAAGCTCAAAACAGGCTCCACCCGGGGCTGGAGTTGTGGCTCAGTGGCAGAGAGCTTGCCTAGCCCATGCGAGGCACTGGGTTTGATCCTCAGCACCACACAAAAATAAAATAAAGATTGTATCCACCTAAAACTAAAAAATATATATTTAAAATAAATAAATACATTAAAAAAATAAAGGTACTGTGTCCTTCTACAACTAAAAGACAACAAAATAAACCCAGACAGGTTCTCACTCCTACACTTGTGCAATAAGCCTATGAAACAGGTGCCGTCCGCGAGGCTTCGGTTTGCAAGTAACAGAAACTTCGAAGGAATGCGACCAACCGAAGCGCGCGACTCCTCGGCAGGAACACGAGGCACAACTCCAAGTTACCAAGGTGGTGCTCAAGTCAAAGAATCCCCCACTGAAAATCACTTACTCAGGGAGAAAACGCGGCCATCCGCTGAACAAGAGGATTCAGTAACGCGAGGCCCCACCTCCCTTGCCACAGCTGATTGGATAGGGCCCGGGGGTGGGGCACCCTAGGCCCAGGGCAGCCAATCAGTAGCCGGGCAAGCAGCCAATGAGAGGGCCCGGAGGAGAAGTTCTGACCAATCATTTCGCTCGTTATTAGGAGGGCCCGGCTGGGTCTCTCTTGGCAATCTGAGTCAGAGATTTTGGGGTTTGGGACAATCTATAGAGGGACCTGAAGACAAAAGTCACCCTGAAGGCAGTGAGCAGGAGGAGCCTGAGCCCCAGGAAGCCAGGAGGGAGTGAGGAGCAGGTGCAGTCAGCCTGGAGAGGAGCCGGCCATCTTTAAAATCAGGAATAGAGAGCCCCAGTCCCCGAAGGTGAAGCGGAGCTTTCCCAGGCCTGGTTTGTTCTGGTGTTTAGGCCTCGCCAAGTGACCTGCGTGACTGAATTGTTTCTTTGCTGCTCCCGCAATATCATTATCCATGAGCTCCTGTCAGCACCCGAGAGGCCTCAAGGAGAGCAGCGAACCCCTAGAATTCTGAGAAATTCTCTTGCAAGATCGTGTGTGGCCTAAGTCAGGGTCTCTCTCCCCAGGGTACCCCTGGAAGATGGGGAGGATGCTGGGAATGGCCTTCAGGTCTCTGGCCTCCTGGGCTTCCCAAGGCCATCCCTAAGCCAAGAGGCTTCCCAGGCATTGCCCTTTGCCCTTCTTTAAAACTGGAAGGTTGGCGTGGGGTGCAGACAAAGGGAAGGGGGAAGAAGGGGCCCTGTGGGGTCTCCAGAGAATGGTTATATGCCACTTGTCCTCCCTCTCTGCTCCCACTGCACCCCTGTTCATTAACAGCTCCTGAATTTCTCTTACAAGGAAGACCCTCCAAACACCATACTAGTAGGGGGTGCAGTCATTGGAGTCCACAATTCACTGTGTACACTGGAGCCAGTCACGGAACCTCCTGGGCCCCTACTTCCTCATTTGTAAAATGGGATGACCATAGTACCTGCCACCCTGGGCTGTAAGGGTGAAATGAGTTCTGACCCTGGGAATGGGAAGGGGGCCTGGTGCATAGCAAATGCCAGGAATAATAGTATCAGCTACTATTCCTGAGATCTGGGCTCAGGAAAGGGAATGGGAAAGAGGGATGCAGAGAGGAGAAAAGGAGATAGAAACATTCCAAGAGGGAGAAAAGGAGTATAGAGGGCAGAGGGAATATGGGTGCTGGCCTTGATCTCTCAGGGCTGGCAGCAGGGCTCACCTTCTTGTTCTTCCTTCCCCCATATAATCTCCCCAGAATTCTGAGGAATTCTGCTTCCACCCCCACTGGTTGCCATGGTGATGAAAAATCTGGACCCAGTGGAAAGTTCTCTCTGCTCTTGGCAACGAGGCTGCAGCACCCTGCCTCCTGCCTGCCCGCCTGTGCGTGGGCGGCTCTCTGCAGCTGCTGCCAGGATTCAGGGCCAGCTCTGCTCTCTGCAGAGGCCCAGCCCTGCCCCCCACAAGATCTAGGGTGGGAGCCCTGGTGCCAGGAACCCTCAGCGAATATCTAACCTGTCACATTTTATAAGGGGGAACCTGGGCCGGAGAGGACCCCTGACTTGCCCAAGACTGCAGAGGCTCTTGACTGCCCTGGAGTCTCTCCTGGGTCAGTGCGGAATCTTCTGGGGACGTGGGATGCCTGAGGACATCTTAATCAGAGAACAGGCCAGCTGTTGAGAGCCAGAGGGATGCAGAAAAATAGTAGGAACTTGGGGAGGCTACCACTACTGAATGTGCCCCCCCAAATTCATAGGCTGAAATTTGGAGCTGTGGACTTTGGGAGATGAGTAGGTCATGGGGTGGGTGTGATGATGGCATTAGTGCCCTTATAAGGAGAGACATGAGAGAGATGATTTCTCTCTCCACTATGTGAGGACACAGCAAGAAGGTGACATCTGCAAGCCAGGAAGAGGACCTCTCTGGAAACCAGCCCTGACCTTGGGCTTAGCAGCTTCCATAACTGTGAGAGATAAATGCTATCCAAGCCACCCTGCCTAGGGCTGACCAAGCTGACAAGATGGCGGGGTTTGCTGGGCTGCTGGGTTTCTCCCCTTCTAACAGCTCCAGTTTTCAGCCAGAGTTGAAAGATCACAAAATCATTCTGTAGTAAGCTCTAATCAGGGCCCCAGAGCCTTACATTTACTCCTTCTTTCTTTCCTTTCTTTGCCCATCAGACTGAGCCTTGAGGCCCAGGCTCCCAGCAGGAGGCCAAGGGCCCCCTATGTCAAACTCCACCAAGAACGCCCCACTCCTTTTGGATTATTTTTCTGTCATCAGCTCCACATACTATGGTGTGAATGTCTGTGTCCTTCTAAAATTGATATGTTCAAATCTAATCACCAAGTGATGGTATTGGGAAGGCATCACCCCACGTCATGAGGGTAAGACCTTGTGATGGGGTTAGTGCCCTTGTCAAATGACCCCACAGAGACCTTGCCCCTTCTAACCTGTGAGGACACCCATGGGAAGGTGCCGCCTGAGAACCAGAAAGCAAGCCCTCGCCAGACACCATATCTGCCAGCACCTTGATCTTGGACTTCTCGGTCTCTAAACTATGAGAAATAAACTTCCCTGGGTTATTAGCTGCCCAGAGTATGGTATTTTGTCATATCCAAAAGACATAAGGCACCATGTTTCTAAAACCATTGTCCCTTGAGCAGATAGTGTTTATTGAATAACTACATATACAATGCGCCATTTGTGAGCGTCAAAACCTTATAGAATCCAGGCTGTGGCAGCCTCTTGGGATTTCCAGCCCCTAGATGATTATGTGGTGGATATCTGGGACAGTTCCTCAGAACCCTTCAGGGGAGGATCCTCAAGTTGGACACCAGTGGGATTTCCCCAAGGCCCCACAGATCAACCAGTGGCTGGGGCTTGGACTATCTTGAGAGCTCTGGCTATGGAAAGACCCAGGCCAGATTGGGCCATATTGCACTTACCACAAATCTTCCAAGGGACTCAACTGCCCAGACACTTTGGGAGTATGAAAAGGTTCTTGCAAAAGTGCAACCTTTGTTAAGAAGGGGCCTCTTGCCCAGTTTCCAATGAGAAAACTTGGACAGCAGAACCACTCATGGGGCGCCAATGCAGTCTCCATGACCCCATGAGCTGACACCCAAAGAATGTGACTTAGCCCACGGGTCCTAATTTTCCATAGCATCTTGGAGTCGAGACATTTCCCTAGAGAGATTTTTACCCAGCATCTTCAGAAGGAAAGTGATGGCTGGCAGGGCGCACAGACAGATCCAGAACCAAAGGTGGGATCTTCAAGATTTTCTCTCTCACTCCAGAACTATGGAGCCACAGAGCAATGGCATGGCTTTCCCATCTGTAGCACAGGGCTCAGGTCCCTAGTTGCTGTTAGTTCCTCCACCAAGTCATGTACTCACTGGCGGAAACACTACACCAAGCTCCTGTTTCTCCTCACTGCCCCTGACAGAGCCTGGCAGAGTGGTCCCGGATTAGACAAGGGGAGGAGCAAACCTGAGGGCATTTATTCCCCAGACCACCCACCATGCCTGCCTCACTCCACCCATGAATTCATTCATTTGTTCAGCCAAAATTTATTATCATCTATGTGCAGGGGACACAACAGTGAGGGAGATACAACCTACAACTGACCAGTGGGACCAGAAGACGGGCAGCACCACACACTGAAACACAGGAAGCAGAGGATCCCCCAAACACAATGGAGGGGTCCTTCCTCAGTTTTACAGAAATCAAGAAAGCCTCCTGTGAAGGTTTCTCAGGGATAAGGTTTAATTTAAGCTACAGAAGCAGGGTTAGGGTTCTGGGAGGAAGAGACAGAGAGTGGAACATGGAAGGAGAGCAGGAGCAGGAGAAGGTTCTCTGGGGCCACAAGATCCCTCCCCAAACATCTACTTCCCAAAGAGACCACCTCCACGTCACTCAAGGCGGGGACCAGGGAGGCGGTTCAGGACCACGGAGAGCTCCACAGTGGCCTCCCAGCCACCACAGCGATCCTGCTGACTCCCAGGGGCAGAGCTCGGGCTAAGGCCCGAGGAGATGGTGGGCAGGCCATGTGGGTAGGAAAACCACCAGGGAAGGAGAGGGTCTGTGGAGGCCTGGAGGACTGGCTCAAGGCGGGGACCAGGGAGGCGGTTCAGGACCACGGAGAGCTCCACAGTGGCCTCCCAGCCACCACAGTGATCCTGCTGACTCCGAGGGGCAGAGCTCAGGCTAAGGCCCGAGGAGATGGTGGGCAGGCCATGTGGGTAGGAAAACCACCAGGGAAGGAGAGGGTCTGTGGAGGCCTGGAGGACTGGCTCACCTCTCCAGCTGGGCCGCAGTCACAGGCCCAAGGGGAGCCTGGTGGGCAAGGCCCTCAACAACAGGATGATGGAGACCAGGGTTCTCACTGTTAAAACCAGAAGCCCCAGGAGTCTAGTGACGAGGGACTAGTAAATTTAGAAGCAACATAATAAATCAGTAAGTTATACAGTACCACAGGAGGTGACAGACATTGTGGGGAAAAGAACTGTCTCCTTCCCCCAGGAAACAAGTGGCCCCAAAGTTTTTGTACAATGACAGAGGTTTTTAGTACCCCTGAGCTCTCCACAGAGACAGCTGAGGCCCAGTCTCCCCCAGGGGCTCACCCACGCTGCATGAGAGTGGGGTGGAGGGGTGGAGGAAAGCCGAGCGGAGTCTACCCAGGTCCCTGGGTATTGATTGACAGCACCTGTGTTGTGTGAATCTTCTCGTAGACATTTTGGACATATCAGTGAGCAGAAAAAGTCAAGTCAGTGCCCTGAGAGTTTATTTATGGGTTATGTTTCAGTGGATTGGACAGATTGTAATGAAAAAATAATAAATTTGAAATTGTACAGAATATGAAGCTTGCAAATGCTGTGGGAAAGGAAAGCAGAAGTAAAGAAAAAGCCTAGTGTGTGCAAGGGCCTGGGGCACCAGGGTTGGGCTGGGGTGGTGGGTGACATGGGGAACTCGCAATTTTAAATGCAGAGGTCAGAATGGTCTCACCGAGAAAGTGACCATTGAGCAAAGAGCGAGAGGGAGGGAGAGACTTGGCCAAACAGGCAGGTGGGCAGACAGGGCTCAGCCAAGGGCTTGCCCTCCCAGGCTGTGAGGAGGGGACTGCAGCTGGTTCTTTGGAGGAACAGCAAGGAGGGCAGAGAGACTGCAGAGAGGGAGAAAGGGGTGAGCGGTGGGAGGAAGAGAGGCGGGGCCAGATGGTGGGAGCCACTGTGTGACTGGCTTCTGCTGCGTAGGTGGGGGCACTCAGGACCTGGTCCCACTTTATTTGGAAAGCTCCTGTGTTAATCAGCTTTCTGTTACCATAACAAGTAGCTGAGATCAATCAACTTGGAAGGCAAAGCTCACAGTTTCAGAGGTTTCTGTTCATGACTGATTGGCCCTGGTCTTGGGCCTGTGGCAGCGCAGCACATCATGGTGGGTGTGTGTAGAGAGGAAGCCTGTTTAACTCTCGTGACCATGTGGAAGAGACAGGAGGAGGAGGGGGCTGGGGTCCCAATATCTGCCTCAAGGACATGTCCCCAGGGATGGGAAGACCTTTCACCAGGCCCCTCTTCTTAAAGGTTATACCACCTTCCAACAGTACCCCAGCCTGGGCACCAGCCTTTAACACATGGGGCTTTGTGGGACACTTATCCAAACCACAGAACCCCCCTGCGCGGGGAGTGGACTCAATGGAGATCAGCAGTTACCTGATGAGAGAGGCTGGTGGCTTGGCCCAGGCTGGTAGGAGCAAGTCCGACTTGGTAGATCCTGAAGGTAGGAACAGCAGAGTCCAAGGAAGATCAGATGTGAAATGGAAGACAAAGACAGCGACGTCAGTTCTGTCCTGGGCGTCTGGAAGGCTGGAGGTGCTATGGACGGAGACGGGGAAACCTGTGAGACAGGCTGGCGTAGGGGAGATGCCCACCAGACACCCTGGGAAGACACCAAGGAGGCTTTGGAAATGCAATTCCCATCTCCCAGCCCTGAGTGGCTCCCGTTGGGTGGGGTCCTCAGAAGGCTGCTGGGCCCATGCCTCCTCAGAGCCAGGACATTCTCCCCCAAGCCTTTCTGTCCTTGCTGGCACGTGTCCTGGTGAGTTGGCGCTCTCCCAAGGCCATCCCTGTGTGTCTGAACAACTCTGACCTGGAGAAGTTCCTTCTATACCGAGCAGACTCCTGTCCCAGGGGTCTCAGGGTAAGAGATGCAGTAAGAGACCCCGTGGCCTCAGACTGTAGGAGGACGTGAGAAGTGTGGGTTCCTGGTGTCCACTACAGTCCTTCCCTGAGACCAGGTGTCCCCAAGGCTCTGGGGCTTGCCAACCATGCTCCCTTTCTCTGAAGCTGACTCCAATGGGCTTCGGCACCTGCCACCAGAGACGTCTGCCTGGCCAAGTTGGGCACTGACAGAGACGCCACACGGATTCAATGGAAGAACCCCCCTAGGTGCTTAGCCCAGTGCCTGGTGCAGAGAATGCGCTCGTTGCAACAAAATAACCAGCTGTACTCCACAAGCATCCAGGAGGGTGCTGATTGGGTGCTGACCCTGGAGTTGGGTCAGAAGGGGTAGGCAGGAGCTAGATAGATGAAGAGAGGGGAAGGGGTCCCCCAAATTCCCCACTGGTCCCCATGTACCCAAGCCATCTCTTCTCCATACTGAGCCTGCCAGCTCCTCTTCTCCTGTAGCCAATGAGGTCCTTCCACTTTTTGTAAAGGTAGTGCCTACGATGGTCCAGCATTAAGGCAGTGGAGACTGGATAGTCTGGATTCAAACCTAAGCCCAACACTTGCTAGCTGTGTGACTTTGGGCAAGTTACTGAACCCCTCTGTGCTCCCGACTTCATAGATTTGTTGTAAAGATTAAGTGGCATAATGCGAGCACTTATCACCTCAGTTGGGGCTGTCAGTTAGGCCTCAAGCTTCTGCTCAGCCCAGCAAACCCAACGGTCCTGTGTGGTTTGCAAAGCCTCACACAGTCCCTGAGCTCAAACAGCACCGCTTCACAGGGCAGCAAATGGAGGCATCTTGGAGGGGCTAGAAGACACGCCTCGGCCCCCTCGGTCAGCCCCGTGTGCCCGGGTCTGGCTGAGGGGAGAGGCCTTGTTAAGGGACCAGATGAAGATGCGGTGGGACCCGGGCTGGAGCAGGAAGCGGAGGAGACGGCAGGACGGAGGGGGTGGGTGGAGGGGAGGCAGGTTCCCGCAGGAAGAGGGAGAGGAAACCAAGCAGCCTCTGGAAGGGAGGCCGCGGAAGCTCTGCCCCACACCTGGCATCCCATCCGGGACCTTGCAGCCCCCCGCCCTCCACCTGGCTCTCGGCCCTGGTCTGAGCAGAAATGACATTTGCTGAGTCACCCGGCAGCTGGCACAGTGCCAGAGGCTCCTTGGTCTCCGGAAGCCCCCGCTCAGCTCCATTCCCCGTCCGCAGCTCCCCAGCCCCTCGGCTTCTGCTCCCCGCTGGCCACCAGCTCCAGTGCATCCGTGGGCAGGTTGCTTCACCTCTCTGGGACTCAGACTCCTCAACTGTCCAGTGGATCTTGTCGTCCTTGGAATGCAGGTCCCAGGAAGCCAGGGGCATGGATGACCTGTTCGC